CTTGGCACAGGGACCATACAATAGTATACCTTGACAGTAATGGGGCCAGATTTGGGCCAGTGCATCGGTAGCATCATCAGCCAGACCAAGCCTCTTGGCCCCACTCGGACCCAACCCGTCTGCGCGCACAGCTCCATGAGGAACAGGGCTACTGACCTACCGCTTGGCACAGGGACCATACAATAGTATACCTTGATGGTAATGGAGCCAGATTTGGACCAGTGCATCAGGAGCATTGTCAGCCAGACCAAGCCTGTCGGCCCCACTCGGACCTAACCCGTCTGCGCGCACAGCTCCATGAGGAACAGGGCTACTAACCTACTGCTTGGCACAGGGACCATATAATCGTATACCTTGATGGTATGGAGCCAGATTTGGGCCAGCGCATCAGTAGCATTGTCAGCCAGACCAAGCCTGTCGGCCCCACTCGGACCTAACCCGTCTGCACGCACAGCTCCATGAGGAACAGGGCTACTGACCTACCACTTGGCACAGGGACCATACAATAGTATACCTTGACGGTAATGGAGCCAGATTTGGGCCAGTGCGTCGGTAGCATCATCAGCGAGACCAAGCCTCTTGGCCCCACTCGGACCCAACCTGTCTGCGCGCACAGCTCCATGAGGACCAGGGCTACTGACCTATCGCTTGGCACAGGGAGCATACAATAGTATACCTTGACAGTAATGGGGCCAGATTTGGGCCAGTGCATCGGTAGCATCATCAGCCAGACCAAGCCTCTTGGCCCCACTCGGACCCAACCCGTCTGCGCGCACAGCTCCATGAGGAACAGGGCTACTAACCTACTGCTTGGCACAGGGATCATACAATAGTATACCGTGATGGTAATGGAGCCAGATTTGGGCCAGCGCATCAGTAGCATTGTCAGCCAGACCAAGCCTGTCGGCCCCACTCGGACCCAACCCGTCTGCGCGCACAGCTCCATGAGGAACAGGCTACTGACCTACCGCTTGGCACAGGATCATACAATAGTATACCTTGACGTAATGGAGCCAGATTTGGGCCAGTGCATCGGTAGCATCATCAGCGAGACCAAGCCTCTGGCCCCACTCGACCCACCCGTCTGCGCCCCACAGCTCCATGAGGAACAGGGCTACTAACCTACTGCTTGGCACAGGGACCATAGAATAGTATACGTGATGGTAATGGAGCCAGATTTGGGCCAGTGCATCGGTAGCATCATCAGCGAGACCAAGCCTCTTGGCCCCACTCGGACCCAACCCGTCTGCGCGCACAGCTCCATGAGGACCAGGGCTACTGACCTACCGCTTGGCACAGGGATCATACAATAGTATACCTTGACAGTAATGGGGCCAGATTTGGGCCAGTGCATCGGTAGCATCATCAGCCAGACCAAGCCTCTTGGCCCCACTCGGACCCAACCTGTCTGCGCGCACAGCTCCATGAGGAACAGGGCTACTGACCTACCGCTTGGCACAGGGACCATACAATAGTATACCGTGATGGTAATGGAGCCAGATTTGGGCCAGTGCATTGATAACATCATCAGCCAGACCAAGCCTCTTGGCCCCACTCGGACCCAACCCGTCTACGCGCACAGCTCCATGAGGACCAGGGCTACTGACCTACCGCTTGGCACAGGGACCATACTATAGTATACCTTGACGGTAATGGAGCCAGATTTGGGCCAGTGCATCGGTAGCATCATCAGCGAGACCAAGCCTCTTGGCCCCACTCGGACCCAAACCGCTTGCGTGCGCAGCTCAATGGGGCAGAGGTCTCCCAGCCTACCGCTTGGCACAGGGACCATACAATAGTATACCTTGACAGTAATGGGGCCAGATTTGGGCCAGTGAATCGGTAGCATCATCAGCCAGACCAAGCCTCTTGGCCCCACTCGGACCCAACCCGTCTGCGCGCACAGCTCCATGAGGAACAGGGCTACTGACCTACCGCTTGGCACAGGGACCATACAATAGTATACCTTGACAGTAATGGGGCCAGATTTGGGCCAGTGAATCGGTAGCATCATCAGCCAGACCAAGCCTCTTGGCCCCACTCGGACCCAACCCGTCTGCGCGCACAGCTCCATGAGGAACAGGGCTACTGACCTACCGCTTGGCACAGGGACCATACAATAGTATACCTTGATGGTAATGGAGCCAGATTTGGGCCAGTGCATTGATAGCATCCTCAGCCAGACCAAGCCTCTTGGCCCCACTCGGACCCAACCCGTCTGCGCGCACAGCTCCATGAGGACCAGGGCTACTGACCTACCGCTTGGCACAGGGACCATACTATAGTATACCTTGACAGTAATGGGAGCCAGATTTGGGCCAGTGCATCGGTAGCATCATCAGCCAGACCAAGCCTCTCGGCCCCACTCGGACCCAACCCGTCTGCGCGCACAGCTCCATGAGGAACAGGGCTACTGACCTACTGCTTGGCACAGGGACCATACAATAGTATACCTTGACGGTAATGGAGCCAGATTTGGCCAGTGCATCGGTAGCATCATCAACCAGACCAAGCCTCTTGGCCCCACGCGGACCCAACCCGTCTGCGCGCACAGCTCCATGAGGAACAGGGCTACTGACCTACCGCTTGGCACAGGGATCATACAATAGTATACCTTGATGGTAATGGAGCCAGATTTGGACCAGTGCATCAGGAGCATTGTCAGCCAGACCAAGCCTCTTGGCCCCACTCGGACCTAACCCGTCTGCACGCACAGCTCCATGAGGAACAGGGCTACTGACCTACCACTTGGCACAGGGACCATACAATAGTATACCTTGACGGTAATGCAGCCAGATTTGGGCCAGTGCGTCGGTAGCATCATCAGCGAGACCAAGCCTCTTGGCCCCACTCGGACCCAACCTGTCTGCGCGCACAGCTCCATGAGGACCAGGGCTACTGACCTACCGCTTGGCACAGGGAGCATACAATAGTATACCTTGACAGTAATGGGGCCAGATTTGGGCCAGTGCATCGGTAGCATCATCAGCCAGACCAAGCCTCTTGGCCCCACTCGGACCCAACCCGTCTGCGCCCACAGCTCCATGAGGAACAGGGCTACTGACCTACCGCTTGGCACAGGGATCATACAATAGTATACCTTGACGGTAATGGAGCCAGATTTGGGCCAGTGCATCGGTAGCATCATGAGCGAGACCAAGCCTCTTGGCCCCACTCGGACCCAACCCGTCTGCGCGCACAGCTCCATGAGGAACAGGGCTACTGACCTACCGCTTGGCACAGGGATCATACAATAGTATACCTTGACGGTAATGGAGCCAGATTTGGGCCAGTGCATCGGTAGCATCATCAGCGAGACCAAGCCTCTTGGCCCCACTCGGACCCAACCCGTCTGCGCCCACAGCTCCATGAGGAACAGGGCTACTGACCTACCGCTTGGCACAGGGACCATACAATAGTATACCTTGACGGTAATGGAGCCAGATTTGGGCCAGTGCATCGGTAGCATCATGAGCGAGACCAAGCCTCTTGGCCCCACTCGGACCCAACCCGTCTGCGCGCACAGCTCCATGAGGAACAGGGCTACTGACCTACCGCTTGGCACAGGGATCATACAATAGTATACCTTGACGGTAATGGAGCCAGATTTGGGCCAGTGCATCGGTAGCATCATCAGCGAGACCAAGCCTCTTGGGCCCCACTCGGACCCAACCCGTCTGCGCGCACAGCTCCCTGAGGAACAGGGCTACTGACCTACCGCTTGGCACAGGGATCATACAATAGTATACCTTGACGGTAATGGAGCCAGATTTGGGCCAGTGCATCGGTAGCATCATCAGCGAGACCAAGCCTCTTGGCCCCACTCGGACCCAACCCGTCTGCGCCCACAGCTCCATGAGGAACAGGGCTACTGACCTACCGCTTGGCACAGGGACCATACAATAGTATACCTTGACGGTAATGGAGCCAGATTTGGGCCAGTGCATCGGTAGCATCATGAGCGAGACCAAGCCTCTTGGCCCCACTCGGACCCACCCCGTCTACGCGCACAGCTCCATGAGGACCAGGGCTACTGACCTACCGCTTGGCACAGGGATCATACAATAGTATACCTTGACAGTAATGGGGCCAGACTTGGGCCAGTGCATCGGTAGCATCATCAGCCAGACCAAGCCTCTTGGCCCCACTCGGACCCAACCCGTCTGCGCGCACAGCTCCATGAGGAACAGGGCTACTGACCTACCGCTTGGCACAGGGATCATAGAATAGTAAACCTTGACGGTAATGGAGCCAGATTTGGGCCAGTGCATTGGTAGCATCATCAGCTAGACCAAGCCTCTCGGCCCCACTCGAACCTAACCCGTCTGCACGCACAGCTCCATGAGGAACAGGGCTACTGACCTACCACTTGGCACAGGGACCATACAATAGTATACCTTGATGGTAATGGAGCCAGATTTGGACCAGTGCATCAGGAGCATTGTCAGCCAGACCAAGCCTCTTGGCCCCACGCGGACCCAACCCGTCTGCGCGCACAGCTCCATGAGGAACAGGGCTACTAACCTACTGCTTGGCACAGGGACCATATAATCGTATACCTTGATGGTAATGGAGCCAGATTTGGGCCAGCGCATCAGTAGCATTGTCAGCCAGACCAAGCCTGTCGGCCCCACTCGGACCTAACCCGTCTGCACGCACAGCTCCATGAGGACCAGGGCTACTGACCTACCGCTTGGCACAGGGACCATACAATAGTATACCTTGACGGTAATGGAGCCAGATTTGGGCCAGTGCATCGGTAGCATCATCAGCGAGACCAAGCCTCTTGGCCCCACTCGGACCCAACCTGTCTGCGCGCACAGCTCCATGAGGACCAGGGCTACTGACCTACCGCTTGGCACAGGGATCATACAATAGTATACCTTGACAGTAATGGAGCCAGATTTGGGCCAGTGCATCGGTAGCATCATCAGCCAGACCAAGCCTCTGGGCCCCACTCGGACCCAACCCGTCTGCGCGCACAGCTCCATGAGGAACAGGCTACTGACCTACTGCTGGCACAGGACCATATGATAGTATACCTTGAC